TAGTGCACGCAGCTCCTGTGTGTCCCATCGCAGAAGCTCCTTCTAGTTTAAAGATGAAGTCGTTTTGGCATCCCATTCTTGCTGTTTTTTCCGTAATTGTTTCTTTTTCTGTTCAACAAGACTGGGGTTTGCTCTGTTGTTGCAGGTGGAAGAAATGTGGCCATCTTCTCCACAGTTAAAACAATACCATGGCTTGGGTTTGGTATTTGCCTGAGGTGACGAGTGACTGGGCTTGTTTTGTCGTGGCTTAAGCTTTGACTCTAATGAATTTTTTCGGGACAAAAGTTGGGACATTTGCTGTTGGAGGGTTTGGAGTTGTTTTTTCATTTCTTTTAGCTCTTCATTGGCTGTAGAGTGCCCACAAGAACAAGTGCTTTGGGATTGGATGTTGGCTTTTTGTTTTGATAGACCAATGTGTTTTCTCATAAGTGACTCCTTGGCAGTTTGTCTGTCTTCTTCTGTCCGTAACCACAGCAATAAGTCAGAGAAAGGTGGTGGGTTGTTCTTTTGCTGTTCTAATTGTAATTTGGTTAATATAGTGTTATCCCAACACCCACGACAAAACTGCTTTAGCAGATGTTTATCCATGTCAGCAGCTGCAAGTCCTCCTTGCTTTACAACAGTGCTGAGGGTTAGCTGCAGTCTTTGGAGATAAGCGGATGGTCGTTCACCTGGATTTTGAAGAATATTTAAGTATTGAGCATACAATTCCTCACCATCTTGAACTGTTCCAAAAGCAGAGTCAAGTACACTTAGTACGACGGAAGGCAATGTGTTGGAACTTAGGCCTTTAACCAAATCAGCAGCAGGTGACAACAGGCTCTCTATAATACGTCTGGTGACGTATAGAGCTGACAAACTGGGGTCGGCAATCAGTAGATCAATTTGGGAACGCCATGATTCAAAATCTGCTTCACTACATGGCTTAGGAACCCTTCCTGAAAAAGCACGGAGACGTAGTGAAGTTGTGGCACTTATGTCTTGGTTTCGGACCACATGCTCAACCACAACCCTTTGTATTTCCGGTGGGTTGAGACTATGGGCGGTGAGTGATACTCGTGGAGCTGGTCCAGTCTGGCTTTGCCGAGGTCGTGCCCCCTGCTGGTCAGCAGAAACCCGTCTGGCAGAAGGTGAAAACAATTTCTGCTGCTCCAGTTCCCTTTCTTCTTCTTCCTCTACTTCATTTTCCTCGTTTACTCCATCTTCCTCATCATATTCATGTTGACTTTTTCCATCATCATCTGCTCCTGCTTCATGCAAATGTTGTCCAATCTGCCTCATTACTGTCTTCAAGACATCTTCAAACCGGTGCCCACTGCGATCAGCAATATGCTTGAGCTCCTTGAGGTAGTTGGGAGGGGAACTGCTGCTGTCCTCTGTGGCGGCGTACTCACAGGCCAAAGCGGTGACGCAGAACACACGGTCGGCAACAGTTTTAGAACAGTAGGTGTATGGCAGTAACGGCTCTAAAGTTGTAAACGCGGTGGTATCTACAAACTCAGCGATCAGGTTTTTAAAGAATGTACTCGTGGGATCATTTACGTAAAAATGACGGTTAAGATTACCATATGTACGTAAGTGGTCAAGAATTTCGTTATCAGCTTTTGTGTTGGACACACCGGTGATCATCACAGACTGTGATACATCTATGCCGGAAAGGGCCACTAAATCCATTTTTGATTTTCAGCAAAAACAAAGTAAATAACAACAGAAAAATTGTATGTATGACCACAAAATATTCACACGCAAAGGCTCCTGGCTGGCTCGCCACTTGTAACACGTTAAAGGACCAGGTGTCCTGACTGCAACTTCACAGACAGTGAACTATCAGAAGTAGTTTCGACTGTGGAGCCTGAGTGTGTGAATAAAACACAGGAACCCAAAATAGAGCTCAAAATATATATATTATGCATGGTATGAAAAATATATAGACAGATGTACAAAAACTATAACCACATACAACACAGACAATAAATTTTGGTGACATACAAAACAGCTTATTAAATCCCAAAAGGAGGTGGGATGAGGTTTAGTCCAGTATGAGATCAACTTAGGTGCATGGGCCTGGGATAGGTCATGTGTTAACCATCTTTAGTCCAAAGGTTTGCAAATCCTACCGCAATACAGCGGTGGTCGGGTGGCTCGCCATCCCGCGCTGATCAGGGCTGATCACGGGGGAAAAAAAACCTGACCTAAACAAGGTCAAAAACATAAATGATCATTCACAGAAGAAAATAAAACAGCGTTCTACTACTATGACAAAGAAATCAAATAATAGATTAAATAACAATTAAATAATTGATGCCATATGTTATACAACAATCAATGAACCAATAACCAAACAAATCATATCATCATCTCTTATAATGATTATCATTCAAAATACCATTACGAAATAACATCATCATGGGTCCCATCAAAGTACATCAGCAATAAAGCTAATAAGTTAATCAAACATATTCTTCTCACATAATCACAGGTGTTGCGCAACAAGTTCAGTTATCTAAACGGAGTTTAACTCAATGCAAAGGTCGCATCGGCCGTTTTGGCATTTAATCAGAAACGTAACCAAAACGGACCAAACTACCAAAACTACCAAAATCAAATCACTCGTTCAACTCTTGATACATCGATTTAACGTTCGGCCAAAGTGTAATAAACATAAACAACAAGGTTTGATGAATACAACTAGTAGGTTTAGTTACTGTTACTAGCCTAGCGTTAGCTTACCAGCATTCTGAATGTGCGACCGCGGCTCCGCACTTTCATTATTTATGACCAACAAAACAAACAAAAAACTCACCGTTGAGTCGATTGTGAGGTGGTGTATAAATGAATGAATCGGCCGGGTTATTGCACGCTGTCAGCTAGTATGCCGTGTAAAATCTGTCAATATCTGACAAGTACGCCAACCACAGGGAAAACAGCAGCCAGGTAAACAGGGAAGAGGCAGCTGATTTACCCGGAACTTATACAGGGTTCATTCCCGCCACAATAAAAGGATTGGCGGAAATGGGGTCAGAAGTTCATGTTGTTACACTTGCATCTGTATCAGGATGCATTTATGATAGCTAGAACGTGTTGAGGCGGCTTGCCCATCTTTAAAGTATAAAGATCTACAGTAAATGTACACACACACACACACACACACACACACACACAGTAAATGTGTGGACATTGTGGTGGTGGACAAACAACAGAGGACAGCCGTTGTGGCTGATATAGCAACACTAAGTGATGGCAACATCAGGAAAAGGAACATGAGAAACTAGATGAGTACCAGGGCCTCAAAGAAGAACTTAAGAAAGCCTGGAGAGTGAAGACATCGGTGGTGCCCGTGGTGATCAGGGTAGTAACCCCCAAACTGGAGAAGTGGCTAAAGCAGAGAACAGCTAAGATACTGCAGAACCCTCAAGCTCCCAGGCGTCTGGTAGAGGACCCGAGCTTGGAAGGATGAGACCATCCGCTGAGGGTGAGATGAGAATATATATATATAGGTGGTACAGCTTCTTAAAGGGACACGTACGTCGCTAACCTACACACATCTTTTCAGTTTTTATTACCAAATTTATTGACATGGGAAAAATTATCTCGATAAGTCAGAAATGTATTGCCCAGCTCTAAAACGACCCTTTATGAAATGTCACTCAGACTTCTACCTCCCTCTCTAGTCAGAATATCACACTTGCAATTTCAGAGTAGTGGGCCTCTAGCCTGACCAGCCAGTCCCATGCTTCCTTATGAGAAGCAATGGGTCTGGGAACTCTCCCATTCAAATAACCCCACCCCCTGAGAATTCTAACCAAGCCAATCAGCGCTGAGCAGCGTACGTTACACACCATAACACTCAGTTACTCACAAACAAGAAAACAGTGTCTAAAGCTGAGTTTGCAACAAGGAAGAAGCGCTAAAAGCCTTTTTTTTCTAAAGAACGAAAGTCTGTGCTGTTGCCAGACGCCATTTTTGACTACAGCTGATTTTCCGCCTTTTTTCTGACTGGTTATTTTTGAGCTGGCTTGTCCCGCCCCTCATGTGCCTCTCTGCCTGTGAATAACCAGACTAGTCCTCTGTGTAGAATTAAACACAGGACGAGTCTGGCAGTCCAGGCTAGTGGGCTGGCACCTGTTGGAGCTGACATACCTGCCACTGCAGTCTGCTTCCAGCATGTTTCCTGCATGTTTTAGATCATGAACGCAGCTGATTTGTTTAATGAGGTGATGGACCGCTCCTGTAGACACTAATGAGGTCTGAGGAGACATTTCAGCATTTAGATTGAGGTGTTAAAAAGACGAAGGAGAAAAGTTTCACCTTTGGTTCTACTAAACGGACATTAGATGGTGCTAAAAGCAAGCTAAAACTGCCTAGTGTGCCTTTAACAGAAACACCATCTAGATCCTTTTTTCAGCAAGACACTTTTTGCTAGATTTATGAAAAGAATCAGAGTCCTGCTGCTAAACTAGATGAGCTAAATGATGACGAAAGAAAAACTGAAATACTAAATCAATCACAAATGTGAAAGCTAACTTTTGGAGCAGTAACTACTGGTCTCACAAATCACTCAAATGATTCAGCAGAGAGCTGAAAGGAGGGAGATGAGGCTTCAAAAATGGTAACTGTCCTTGTTTGTCTGACTCTCTTCTACCACTTGATGAGTTTTAACGAAATGCACAGAAAATGATCACTAGACTGATTAACTTTTGGAGTTAATCCCTTTCAAGGTGCTTGCCACCGCTAATCACTCTTAGTAAACACAAGACTATAGATAACTTTGTCAATTTGACAGAATTTGAGCTAAAAAATAATTGACATGATAGTGGCTGAGAGTGGTTATCAACATAAACTCAGACTGCTAACAGATCACACATGATCTTGCATGGAAGACAATCATTCTATAATTTCCCAACACACACACACACACACACACACACACACACACATAAATTTGTACTTTTTCTTATGAATCCTAACTTTCCATGAGAATTACAGCTCATTATACTCACACGTCACTGTGCTCACGGGTACTTTAATATACTTTTTAGCATTCTGTAAGCCTTTGATCTAGACACTAACCCATGGGAGGCACCCAAGGAGAACCTGTGAGTCAAGCTTGTGTCTCATGCTCCTGCTCACACTGGAGGTTGGTATTTGCAGTCAGCTGACTCACAGTAGATTGTTTGTTTCAACATCTGCAAACCAAACCAAACGTGTCATCCCAACCAGGCTTCTCTCTGAACACGTGGTGTCCTACTCTCTTTAATGTTTTATCCACAACAAGGAGACTTTTTTTTTATCACAGGAGCAGGTGAAATCATCAGCTAGGAATCACATGACGCAAAAGTAGGCAAGAAGCAAGCATGACCAGGCTTGTGAAGGTCCCAGAAACTGGTTCTAGTCTAATTATATTTGTACAGGAACAACAGAGGCTCAACTTTTGTTTATGAACATGTATTTAAAGTGACAATGTGCAGTTTTTACCGCTGATCTCTGGAAATATTGATCGAAATGTTGTTGAAAAGAAATTAAATTATGCCCAGATTTAGAAAAATATTGGCAGCTTTATCACATATAACCATAAAATTGGTTCTAAAATACATGGGAAATACATGGTCTAGGCGACACACTTCTACGGGAGCCTGTGAGGACAAAACACATTTACTGATTTGTAACAAACTGTTAAAAAACTTTCGCCATTAATAAACGTTGTTTTACACATTTACCTCTTCACTCGTTGCAGAGATGAACAGGATTCTGGTGTGCTTGTCATTTTGCTGGAGGTCAGAGGGGTTTTATTTGTTCTATTTTTGAGGCAGTTTTGCTGTTTTTAAATCGTTTTTGAGAGAACTGTCATTTCTGTTGAAGTTTTAATTTAAGTCTATAAACAGTTGTTGAAAACAGGAAGCTTGAGGCATTGAAACGTGTTTTATGTATGGATCTGTATCATTTGGCAGTCAGTTCCGTATTGGGGATGCAGTAAATATAGTGACGCACTGGATTTATGATGCAGCTGGAGGCCGTATGACGTCACCCCTCCCCCCGACACCCCAAAATGATCTAACAAAAACCCAAACCAGCGTTTCTATCGCGTGAATGTTGCATAAAAAGTTAGAAATGAGCTAAGCTAGAATTAACGGCAGGGTCGCGGGATTGTTCTGCCGCTCAGAAACGTGAAGGTCAGGAAGTTGCCGCTCCACGCCCGAGCAGCTCCAGTAAAAACAAAAGCGATCATCATCAATGTGCCACTCTAACCGCAACATCCAGGATCTCCACAACAACAAGCATCCTGCATGTTTCAGTTCCCCGCTGAAACACTCGCGCGCGCGCGCGTACACACACTCACGCAAAGCATACCTCGCTATGAACTTCTCCGCTCAGTTTCATCCACTTCCTGCTTCTCCGGTGTAGTTATGAGGGGTGGTCCGCCGCAAAAGCCAGGGGGGTGTTACATCTACAGTGACGTCCCTGAGCAGATGTGACCAGAGCAGTCCGGTGGAGCATCTGTGCCGATAAGAGCTGTGAAGTAACCTTTCTCCCGCCTCCCCCCGCCGACCGCAGGATGCTAGGGAGACGTGCAGCCCAATAACAGCTCGTGAACCATGGCACGCCTCGTCCCCTGTTATTTGTTCAAAGGAGTCACGAGACAGATAGGCTCCACGTGACTTTTTAAAGAGGAGGACTAAATATCACAAAACGAAGTACACTGTAGCAGGCAACGCTCTCAGGACCCCTGTCACGGACGCGCTCTCAGACCTCCAACAATTTGCGCATGCGCACAGTCATGATCTCGGAAAGTTTGACGCAGCAGCCCTCATAAGCGGCACAAGCTGAATAATACAACAAAAACAACCCTTAAAATACCTTTATGTGGCCGTGAAGGGTTTTTTTTGTTTGTTTTCGTTTTTTTAGATGTTTCATGGTCATTGTTTAGCAATAAAAGCATGACTGGAATCTTTAAAGTTTTGTCTTCTGCTTATTATAAGGACATTGACATCTTCTGATCATATGATGAAAGTACAAAAAACTTTACCCATGAATTTAGAAACGGTTTAGGTCGTTAGTTTTATCTAATTTGGCCTAAGTAAAACTTTTTACCATGCTTTTTGATTTTAACCTTCATTGTACTATGTTTTATTCTCTTCAACTTAGACCTTTCTTAAAATTATTTAGAGACACTTGATATTGACTTTACGTTTATTTCTTTTTCTTTATCTTTCTTATTTTTTGGAAGTTTGTCAAAAATGTACATTATTATTATAATAATTATAATAATAATAATTATTATTATTATTATTAGTTCAGGTTTATGAGAGTAGAATATTCTGAAATGGCTAGAAGTGTTTTTTTTATTTTCAATCACACCAAATAAAATTTGGGTCTTAGGAGGTTGAATGGGCTTCATAAACTGAACAATTAATTTCTTTGCAAAACACAACTTTTGACTTTTTACAGGCTATTGAATGAAATTATAATCAGGAGTTATAACTAATTGTGCATCCATATTATTAAATGTGTTATTTAGAAATAAATAAGTAACTAAAATAATTGAAATTTAATTAAATCAATTAAAGCGTAAACTGTCTTGTTTCTTTTTGTTCTTTGGCTTTTGACAACTAAGCAACTGTCGCACTCATAGTGGCCATTTATTAACCTAACAACAAACATGTTCACAAAATTTAGAACTGCTCCTGTAGTTAGTGGAAATATCCATCCATTCATTTTCAGCCACTTGTCTGGAATCAGGTCATGACCATAGATGAGGGTAGGAATGTTGATCGACCAGTAAATCGAGAGCTTTGCTATCCGGCTCAGCTCTCTCTTCACCACGACAGATCGGTACAAAGCATCACTGCAGACGCAGCGCCAATCCGCCTATCAGTGTCAAGCTCCATTTTTCCCTCACTGGTGAACAAGACACTGAGATACTTAAACTCCTCCACTTGAGGCACAACCTCCTTCCTGACCTGGAGAAGGCATTCTACACTTTTTCCGATAGAAGACCATGGTCTCGGATTCAGAGGAGTTAATTCTTATCCCAGCCACTTCACACTCGGCTGCGAACAACTCTAGCGAAAGCTGGAGATCACGTTCTGATGAAGCAAACAGGACCACAGCATCTGCAAAAAAGCAAAGACCTGATCCTTAGGCTACCAAAACAGATGCCCTCTACACCTTGACTGAGCCTAGAAATCCAAAAAGTTATGAACAGAATCAGTGTTAAAGGGAAGCCTTGACGGAGTCCAACTTTCACCTGAAACAAGCTCGACTTACTGCCAGCAATGCTGACCAAGCTCTGACACCAGTTATACAGGGGCCAATCAGCCCATATCAAAGGGCCCGGTATACCCATACTCCCGGAGTACCCCCGCAGGGCCCCCCAGGGGACGCGGTCAAACGTCTTGTCCAAATCCACAAAACACACTCAGACACGCACCCTCCACGATCCTCCCATGCAAGGCAGCTTTATTTGTATAGCACCTCACAACAGCATAAAACCGACCAAAGTGCTTCACAGAAATTAAAACATTAAAAAACAATACACAACACAAAATGCATAAAAACAAAAGCTTAAGAACTAACACTAAAAATACTCTCATGCTGAGTTAAAAGCCAAATCATAATAATAGGTTTTCGAAAGAGATTTAAAACCAGACAGTGAAGAGGCCGTCCTAATGCTGAGTTCCAGAGCCTATGGGCTGCTACAGAGGAAGCCCTGTCACCTCTGAGCTTACGTCTTGTTTTTGGGACTTCCAAGAGCATCCTATCAGCTGACTTCAGAGACCGTGCAGGGAAGAAAAAAACAGTAGCTCAGAGAGGTAATCTGGAGAAAGACCATGCAAAGATTTGAAAGCCCATAAAAGCACCCTGTAATGGATTCTAAAACAAACAGGAAGCCAGTGCAGTGAGGCCAAAGCAGGAGTAACGTGCCCCATCTTTTTCGTCCCAGTGAGCAGTCGTGCAGCAGCATTCTGCACCAATTGAAGACGTGAGAGGTGGGATTGTGAAGCACCAAGGTACAAAGAATTACAGTAATCAAGCCTTGATGTAATAAAAGCATGAATTACTGTTTCAAAATCCTTTTTTGACAGCAAGGTCTTTACTTTGGTGATCCTTCTTAATTGATGAAAACTAGATTTAGTCACCACACTGATCTGCTTGTCTGACATTCAGTTTCAAGAATGGGGCAAGCTGACTGAGGTCCACTGCACCCACCCTAAACAAAGTACTTGGACCAAAATCTACAACCTCTGTCTTTTTATCATTAAAAAGAAGGAATTAGAGAACATCCGTTGCCTATCCTCAACGAGACCATCTAAAAGAGACCACAAAGCATGATTGTGGCCCCTCTTAAAAGGCACATATACAGGTGTGGCAGGGCGGAGTAACGAGGGCCCGGGCAGGATTCAATCCCCAGACTCCAGGATGATAGTCACGCGTGCTAATCAATCAGCCAAGGGGGCACCCCCCTGGCCAAGTAGCCAGGGTGCATGATCAATTGGGACACTGTGACAGGACGCTGCCACAGACAAGCACCCACAAATATTCCATCCTAGAAATCAAGAGAGAATGATCCACAGTATTGAATGCAGCAGATAGGTCCAACAATACCAAAATACTGTACTCCTAAGGGTATAGAGCTGGTCCAGTGTTCCATGGCTAGGAAGAAAACAACACTTTTCCTCCTGAATCTGAGGTTCAACAATTGAACGCACCCTCCTCTCCAGAAACCCTGAATAGACCTTATAAAGGAGACTCAGAAGTGTGATCCCCCTGTATTTCGAACACACTCTGCGGTCCCCCTTTTTAAATATGGGACCCTATAGGACTCTTTCTTCAGCTTGACAGCATCCCTAACCGCTGGTGTCCAACCAACAGGTTCAGGGGTTGCCACCACGACTGGCACCAACAACCCTGTGGCTGCAACTCCGGTCAGCTGCCTAAACAATGGAGGCACAGAACAGGGTCCATTCAGACTCAATGTCCCCCGCCTACCCCGGGACATTTTGGAAGTTCTGTCGGAGGTGGGAATTGAAGCTCCTTCTGACAGGAAACTTCACCAGACGTTCTCAGCAGACCCTCAAAATACGTTTGGGCTTGCCAGGTCTGACCGGCTTCCTTCCCCACCATCGAAGCCAACTCACCACCAGGTAGTGGTCAGTTGACAGCTCCGCCCCTCTCTTCACCCGAGTGTCCAAGACATGTGGCCACAGATCAGATGAAAAGACAACAAAGTCAATCATTGAACTGCGGCCTAAGGTATCATGGTGCCAAGAGCACATATGAACACCTTTATGTCTGAACATGGTGTTCGTTATGGACAATCCATGATGTGCACAGAAGTCCAGTAACAAAACGCCGCTCAGATTCAGATCAGGGGGGCCATTCCTCCCAACCACACCTCTCCAGGTCTCACTGTCGTTGCCCACATGAGTCCCCCAGCAAAACAAGGGCGTCACTTGAAGGAGCGCTCTCCAGCACCCTCTCCAAGGACTCCAAAAGGGTGGGTAGAGTGAAAAAGTAGTTTAGTGCATAAGCACAAACCAAAGTCAGGACCTGTCCCCCATACTAAAGCGGAGGGAGGCTACCCTCTCGTTCACTGGGGTAAACCCCAACGTATAGACACCAAGATGGGGGCAACAAGTGTGCACACCCCTGCTCGGCGCCTCTCAGTGCGAGGAACTCCAGAGTGGTGAAAAGTCCAAGCCCTCGAGAGGAAACTGGTTTTGGAGCCAGAACCATGCGTCCATCCATCCATCCATCCATCAATTTTTGGCTGCTGTCGCAGAGGCAACACTTCCTGTAAATTCTTTCAAAACAAAATGCAACAGCATTTTGCCGTTCTCACCCTAAATGTCTTTTTCTTTTTTGTTTGCAAAAAACAACATTCAAATTATATTTATGTTACACTGTTAAACACAGTAGTTGAGTGTAGTGGATAACTGGCCAACAGGAGCACCGTAAGCAAAATTTTCCTGTAGCTCAACTGGTTGGAATCACGATCAGGCTTTCCGCCCTCTAGCAAACCGAAACTATTACTACAGGTAGCGTTCATAAAACTAACCAAGATATTACTCAGCTTCCTGTAAATTCCTTCAAAATTAAACATACCACTCAAAAATTACTGCAGGACTAATTTAGTGTAGTTTAATTTAATTACAGAAAGCCAGGACATCTCCACTTTTAAAAACAAACAAATCAGATTATACACCCTCTAGCAGCCACAAGACAAAACTAAACCCATCTCGTAATAATAAAATTAAGTTATTAATAGGTAATATAAAATAAATATAAAATATATTAAGTAACAACTGGAGAGGGGTTGGACACTCTACTTTGCTGGAGTTGC